TCTCTCTTAACTTTACTATATCGTGGACCACCAAACAGCTCCTGTCTTCAAAGTAACTTGGACAGACGAACTTCTTTCATTTAACCCTTCACATTCAAACAGAAACTGAATAGGCAGATTCGAAGGATTTATTTCTTTGGAAATGTTATTTTAAAAATGCAATTAAATCAAGTTATTTTGGTAAAACTAATGAAAAATATAACTAAAAACATTCTTTTTTTAAATATATTAAAAAATATATTTTTTCTTTTTTTTAAATATTATTTTGTAGAATATCTTAAGCCCTCAGAGAGGGCCTAGAGGGCCCTGACGGCTCGCCACAGCTCAAATCAACCGCAGACAGCAAGCAGACCTCAGACGCCTCTCCTTTTGTTACTTTGAAGCTGAACCTAATACTGGAAAAAGCCGTACTAGATGTAATTAACGAGAGGGGAACTAGCATACTAATAAGAAGACTCCAAACAGAGCACTGTGGCAGAAAGTCAGACGCTTACCTAGATTGTTTCAGGATTTTTAACAGCTTTTAGGACTAAAATCAAAGTTTTGAAGTGTGGACTAACAAATACTTATGATTGTTAGGTTGATGTAGCTTTCCAAAGTTTGTTTCTCTCTCAATTAAGAGCTAAAAAACATGTTGCATTGTGTGTAGTGACCTGTGTTATACATGAGTGCTCCTTATAATCTTTATTTACTATAATTCAGTCTTTTAAGCCAGCTTGTCAACCTCTTTGGTCATCTGTAACCATTTCTATTCATTTAACACGGCTACCAAACTGAGATGAGTATACGGACAGGTACAAGAAGACAGGTACTCACACGAGGAAGTGGTAGAGGAAGCATCTCAGTCCAGCAGGCCTCTCCAGGAAGTTGTAAACATCACCCTGCATGCTCGTCTTGGTGTAAGGGCTCTTGTACTCTTTTTGATGATTTAGCATCCAGCTGGAACGAGGGAGAGGCGGAGGGACGGAGGTGATGGAGGGCTGGCTCTGTAAGGTCGGGCGGGCTGGGCTCAGTGGGTCCACTGGCGGAAAGGAGGAGATGCCAGATCTATTATTCCCGCCTGGGGGGTCCAGTAAAACTACAGGGTAGGGCCTTCTGTCCGGTGTAGTAGCCAGCAGGGCAGTACTAGTAGTCGTAGTGGAGGCTGCATCCATGTCCTGGTCCAGGCTGAGGCTGGTGCTGGTGCTGGCGTAACCGTTGGGACTGCTACTTATATAGGAGCTCCCCATCCTGCTGCCGTAGTCGCGTTGCACATGGCACGTCATGTTAAATGATTGTGCTCGTCTCTCCCCCATGGTGCCGTTCTGAGTGGGCCCAAGGAGGATTTAAAAGTCCTGGAAAGTCCTGGAGGTTTCGACCAAGATAAAGGATGAGTCCTGTAGGATAAGACACCTAGCTAGGCATGGTTAGCTGCCCGCTGCAGACAGGAGGCTTGTGTGCTGCACTGCATGTCCATACCTGAAGAGGGAGGAGTGACATGAGTTATGGAGATAGTATGTATAGCTAGGGCTTTGTTAATTTAGAATCCCTCATGAAAATACAAGACAATCTAAAGCTTAATGTGCTGAACCACTATTAAACTGTTTAAAACTGCAATAGTTTATTTTGGCATCATCTTTTATATTTCACAATATTTCCAAACTGTTAAGATTTGTTGGGAGTAGCATAAAAGTAACCCACAAGGATATTAATGGTTTTGATAATTGTTTGGTTAATAGATCTTAACGCAAACTTTGAAGTTACTATTGAAGCAACTTCTTCTGTGACAGGTGGCATTCAAGCGTAGCAGAAATTATAATTTTACTACAAAATATCCTCATATTATAATCTGGAAAATAGGAAAGGTGATTCCCCCTTAGCATGCTACTTTTGAAATGTTGCCATACATGGATCAGAGAACTGTTGTGCTTAGGGCACTGATGCAGATTAAGCCTTTTCATTGTGTAACAGCCCTAGTTTTTACTCCAAGATATAGGCTATCTGCAGGATGTTGGCACCATGAGGAGTCGATGTTTGCTAAGTTAAAAAGTGGTGGAAAATAGAAGGGAATGCCATTTGTGTGAGTGATAATTAACAGTGGCATGTACACTTTTCGAAAAATGCTAATTCAGGGAGGCTATGACACTGTGATTTATGACCACGAGAAATACAAAAGTAAAAGGGTTTTAATATCCACAGAACAGAATAAATGTGTGTCAGAAACAGGTCAGCAGTCCATTTTCCGCTGCCTGCCTTTTTCTGAGGATTTACCACTGCAGAACTTTTGCTTTGTCATTTATTGAAGTCAAAAACATGCCTAGTTTCCCCATCTGGGAAAGTAAAACAAATGCAGAACAGACACTCTGCTAACATTTAGAGAAAATAATCCACTGTTAACCAGCCAACATCTAATGTTAAGCCAGCGACACAGCTGCAATGTCACCTTCCCTGTAAGTGACACAAAACATGTCACATCAGAAAAGCTTAAACAATGTGCAAGCAAAGGAAAATTAGACTGATTAAACCTGGAGACAGTTTGAGGCCACGTTAATGACTTTTTGGCAACTTGTCTCTGTTTTCTTCATTACAGTCACAGAGTGCAAGGTTAACGCCTAGCACATTATTCATGCATGCAACACTGGTTCAACACTCCAAGCGATGCATGTTAATATTATTCAATACTTGATTACTTCGAAAATTGGTGTTATGAAGTTAACTAAATATGCAAATTATTTTTAAGTCATAATTGACTTCCCTAATCAAATCTATACCAACAATCACAGGAGCAGTGTACTGTGTGAATTGTTCAAAGGGAGCGAGCTATACATCAGTAACACATCCTAATGAATTATTGTGACTAATATCAGTTCCTAATGAACCTGTAACAAAGTATGGACAGTGTGACAACTTGACAAAAACAGTTTCCATCTAGTCAAAGTGAATTGTACTCCTTGTATGAACAATTAATCAGTGTGTCAAAGGGAGGTAGGCGAGTCAGTATCTTCTCTGGAAAGACACTGCAACAGGTAGTGTGATTGATGACCGGATGTTGTCGCAAAGGATCGGAAAAAGTGTCATGGGACAAAAGAGGTAAGCTAATTGGAGGCAGCCACCCCCGTCCATATCTTTCCTCAACTAGGGGTGAACTGATGACAACAAACACACACGCTGCTGTATCCCTGAATATAGAGTTTCTACCTTTAAAACACACCTTCATGAGTGACACACACACAATGAACCGTCAGACACTCCTGAACCGACTTTGACATCTATCACTACTGAAAGGACAGGGTGTGGGTTAAAACAAAAATAATTATAATATTTAGATTGCACAGCCTGAAGAAACAAGTGTTACTCTTTGTATCTGCATAACTAACCTGTGTAAGCAGTAAACTAAATAACAGGTTTGTTTAATGACGCTGCATAATCAAGCACATGTAAAGTCAATATTTCCATCAATTAATGCTGTAGGCTACGTCACAGTTGGTGAGCTCTTAAAGAATTAGACTGAACAGCAAAACGATGTCAAGCTTAAGTGTCAAATCTTACCTTAAACTCCAGAAACACTCCTCAAGTTGTATTCGGTGATAAATAATAGGACATTATTTCAGAAGCCAGGAGAAAAGTTTGGATTTATTTCCTTTTTATAAAAAAATCCAAAGTTTTATCGGAAGAATAACTCAATTAAAAATAAGATTGAATTAATCTTACAGCGCTAAAATGTAAAATGGACATCATAAACACAGTAAGAAGCATAAGTCTCTCATCGGCTGCTGCCTGCAGGACTTGTCCCTTTGAAGTGCATCGCAGCCTGTGCATGGATTTATGCTGCGTTCAAGGAATAGGGGATTTTTTTGTGTCAGTTTACTATTCGTCTACTACAAAGTTGATACATTCAAATTGAATGAAATATATGAAATGAATTATATTAGTGAAATATATTAAGTGAAAGGTGGGTCCTTCATCATAATATGATATTGTGGGCCTGTCTTGATAAGGGGTTGTGTGTCCAAATATAGTCATTTGAGTGCAATCGTTTTATTCTAGTTTATATTGAAACCTCATGGTGCATGATGACGAGTCTCTTTGAAGTTGTGTTAAATCAGATTAACATTGATATATATATATATATATACCTCGGCCAAAACAACAGGGGCCTTAACAGGGACTTGCAGACATGTTTTGCCCCAAAGCCCGAAAAGAAGTTCAGAGAAAGTGCACTTTGTATCCTTAATGTAAATTGGGTACATACTACATAAAGTACACGTGTAGCCTAGTGTAACATCATGAAGACCAGGAATTAAACACTAGAATAGCAACACAACGTGATACAGTTCGACCAAGGAGTGTAAACAACACCAAATATGTATATTCCCATCATAAACTAGCTTGTATAAGCACGCTGATAGACATGTACACAACACAAACAAATATATTTGCAAATGTACCCCACATGCAGAATATTCTCTTGTTATGCTAGATCCGGTTGATGCAATTGTACCTCAATAAATATCACTAACATCCATGCTACTTCTTTAAATAGAAGTGAACTCAGTAGGTTTATCAACTTTCCATTTACCTTAAACATTTTAATTGTGTTCAACCCTTTTTATATATATCTAACAGGAAATCAGTCATGCATATGCCTCTGACTCTTGCGTTAACGTGGGTGGGTTTTCACGGAGTTTAGGGATAAACGTGGGCCTTGCTCCTTCGGAAATAATGAGGTTACATTTTCAAGCTTCTTTGAACGCACCACAAAAAGCAGCATCTGTCACACTTGCACGGTTGCAGCCTAAAATAAAATAAAGTACTCGTGTAAATACGGATGGAAAACAGTGACTTTCATTCATTTCAACAAAAATACTTATTTATATTTGAAATAAATTATAACAGGGCCGGATGAAGTCCCATTATAAATTACGAGCTGTTATTCCACACCTATGCTCACCTGTAGGAGGCGCTGAAAACTAGCTCTGCACCGTGATAACGTTTCGCAATTCGCCTTCCTGGTCCCTCACTGCACGCCGTAGTCATTGGGAAAACATGGCATCTCACACAAGTAAGGCATTTCTGTCCCTAGGTCGAATTCATGTTTCTGGTGTTGGACTCCAGAAATCACTGAGCAGAGCCACATACGCGACCGGTGTGTCTACACACACTGGAGGAGGAAATAAAGGTGAGTTTTTTCTGTCGCTGCTGAGAGACATACACACTCATTCGTGCTGCACGCCTAGCTAATGCATGGGTGCTGTTAACTAACCAAGGCCAAGTTATTGTCCCCATGTCCTTTGACAGTACATTTATATTAGCAGTCAGTGTCTTAACTTTAAATTAGACTCATCAGCTGTAATCACGGACAACCATATTTGTCAATTGTGTAATTTGATATGTATTGAGGCTTTATACATCCATGTTGGAGTTAGTTCAAGGGGTGTTTGTGTTGGCTCCTGTGTCTATTCATATTGGCAGTAACAAGATGACATCCTATCTTCCAAACATTATCTACCCACCCTCAGTAATCATACTTAAAATAAGTAAAAAGACAGAAACATGGTCTAGAAACGGGATGTAAATCTAAAATAACTAATACTATTAGGCTGTTTACTAGTGCTTCCTGCAGTTAAATTATGTTGGATATTAGTTAATCTGCTGATGTAATATTCTTGTTGATTTAAATCTTAATCCCTAATGTTTGTTTGGTCTACCTTCACAAAACAAGCAAATTCAATGTGCTTTCATAAAAGGCTGCACATGCTCACTGCGTAATGAAATATCTTAATGGTTGGCTATTATTTTTCTGTATATCAAAACATCTATTTGCAAATGTACAAACACACTTTTGTGGCTCTTTATAAACAGTACAGCAAAATATCATAATGATAAATAAAACCGTTTCAATGTACATCATACTATGAAATACACCTTTCACATACACCTTACGTACATGGTATCCTGAAGTAAGTGCAATGTTGAAATACAAGTAATACAAAATAAAGTAAACACTATAAATAAATATAACAGTGTTAGCAGCATGAAATGCATTGCTGTTACCAAATGTAGTATTTTCTTTACCTTTACACATCAATGAAGTTTATTTGTGTCTTAACTGGAAATATTTTATATTTCAGGTCGCCCTGATAGAGGCGGTCAACGTCAAGGATTCATCAAAAAAAACAGGAGGACTGTAAGTCTGCATCTTTAATGTCTCTTTTCCAAGATGAAGGTTCACATATTTGACACGTATCATCATTAATCTGCAATAAACGGTCACAGATCTTCTGTTGTAAAGCCTCCCTTTGTGTTGTGTATCAGTCAGGGGAGCCCAGGACAGATAAGATGGTGGTGGATCAGGACTGGACGTCTGTTTATCCCACAGCCACCCCCTTCAGACCGAGCTCCGTCCCCCTGCCGGTGAGGATGGGCTACCCCATGAAGGGAGGCGTCCCTCCAGGGAAGAAGGGCAACTTGGAACTGATCAAGGTTGGACCTCTTTTATCTTTTTAAAGACACTTTTATCGAAGCAAAATAAACATGTTTTCATATAGAACATGAGACTCTCTACCACCACCCATCCCAACCACCTATGATAGACATGTCTCCCTTATTTACTAAAGTAGAAACTAATCAAATGACCAAGGAGTGAATTTCTAATGTATAAAGTATATCCTTTGAGTAGACAATTAAAGCATTTGCATAATACTTTACTATAGCCACCGGGTTGAAAGATAGTAATAAGCACTTTATCCAAGCTGTACCCGCAAGTTCAATTACATTTTACTTTTGATGGTTCTCATTTAGTCCATGTCTGTCTCCCACGATCCAGACCTTATCAGTTGGATGACATTTAGTTGGGTTTTTGTCCAAAGGCATTCTAACATCTATTTTGAGATGTCATTGTAAATTATTAAGTACATTTTAATGTTGGGTTTTCCATCACTGACAATTGGGAAAGGCATTCTGATGTGTTTGTGCAGTCTGTGTGGATTTTAATAAGTTATATGAAGTATGTCATTGTGTTAGTCTATGTTTGGTTGAGAATATTACACTCCTAATTGCATTCACGATGTAGTTTTCTTTTTTAATCTTATCAAATCAAGTAACCCTTTAGAATAAGGTCAGACCTCATTAACAACATGTATCCACACGGCACAAGGATACATTTTTGCAGTTTTCGAAAATTGGGCACAGAATTAAGTTGTAGGGTTATTTTGCACGAGTTGAATAAGATTAAAATCTGCTACAGGCTCAATCTGTCCACACACACTTGACAGTGGGCTGTTTCTGTTTACCTTGGCATTTACTTCCTGATATTCATTATGATGAGTTAATTGCAGCCTAGCAGGAGTATTGGAGCACTTTTTGCTCTGACCTGCGGCTCTGTTTCTGTCCCCGGATTACTGAGCTGCTGTGACCAGACACCAGCTGCTCCATCTGGACTGCAGCCACAGCAGATCCACTACACCTCCCCCCCCTCCCTCACCCCACAGCTGGATCACTGCCCCCAGCCTAACGATATTGATTTCATTATTTTGCTCTGCCAAGAGGGCTTAACTGCTCTTGGTTTTTTACGCTTTAAATGTTAAAAATTTTTTTTTATTAAAACGTGTATGTTTCTCGTTTGTCTAAACATGCTAGTTGTATGACCTATACACATTTCAATTTGATCTCAATTTAGTTTAGTTTTCCTCTTTGTGTTCTGTGAAATTAAACACCAGTTTATTCTGAAATCTAATCTATTCTTAAATCATCAATTTGTATGAAAGCTGTTTGTCTGAATTTTGCTTTCCACTTTCTAAATGAATATATTATTACTGCAGGACCTTTTTTTATGTTGTTGTTGTTGTTGTTGTATGAATAGCTGTGAATTTTAAACCTATCTCATTTCTTTCAGATTCCAAATTTTCTGCATTTGACACCGGTGGCCATCAGGAAACATTGTGAAGCTATGAAATGTAATTTAAATTTGAATTATTGTTTTATTTTGTTGTGATGTGTAGCAGCACATAATATTGACTTTAATACATATATAGGCTGAGTCAGTGTTTTTAATATTCCTTTTCTCTGCTGTCAGCCTTCTGTACAGAGTGGCCCTCTGCCTTGAACACTGACGCCCAATGTGACGAGCACTTCCCCGTCAAAGTGGAGAGCACAGACTACATGTCCGCAGCCCCCTCCCTCAGAAACCCCTCCGCTCGGGTTGTTCATCTCAGAGTGAGTCCCCCTGCTTTTCCAATCCTTTAACGTTTCTATAAATATGTTCTGACCTCAGCTCTACCTGATGATCTGCAGTTCACAGATGTATAGAAAGTAATGTGCACAGAAGCCTGACATGAAAAATGAGATTAGAGATTTACAGCGATGCATAATCACCAGCTGACATCATGATTTATCTAGGGAGACGCTCTTTGTCCATTGACCTAAAACCTAAGAAATTATGCCATCAAGTCGGCAGAGATTATAACTATAAAAGCATATTCAACATGTGCTCAAGCTGTTCTGTTAGTTTAACATCCTTGCGAATGGGTTTGTCAACAAAACATACATCACTGACATATATGTTGGGACATTTTAATATTTCTCTTAATCCCCGCTACCACTAATCCAGCCATGTGCATTCTGCCTCGAGAAACATACATGTAAAAACATAACCACCATAAGCCATGAAACTAATACTCAACCTTATGAATATACTAAAGAATGAACAAGAAGTAAACAAATTAAACATAGGCTGGCCAGTTAAAATTCGATATAACACATTTAGGGATGGTCAACAAAAAGTAGATCCTTGGCGTAATGTAGCTAATATTTTTTATATCATCATCACATTACCTTCGTGTGTAGGTGTAAGCTTCATGTTTTAAAGTTTAACAGGATCTTAGAATATGGAAGAACAGATCAAAACACTATTTTCTGTTTGGTGGCGGGACAGTTTCTGGACAGCTAAATAAAATGTATTCTTTCTATTCTGTTTTGGGTTTTATTTTAGCGTTCTGCAAAACATCTTTCCCTCCTCTCAGCTCTAAAACATGAAATCAAGCTTGACAACACAGACTCACAGCAATCAAAACTGCCTGTGACAAATCTGTCATTTTCTAGGTGGATTTTTCACCAGCCATCTGCTCCACTGACACTCCGCCTTAGATTATATCAGCATGCTAGGAATTATTCAGACATTAATCCAGGTGGATTAGGCAAAACAAATAGATCACAGGGCAAATCTCACACAGTTTCAGCTTCACAAAAACTCATTCAGTTTTTAAACGTAAGCAGAAAAATGTTCTTCTGTGGAATTGTTGGAAAGAACATTTTTCAGAATAGACATGTCAACAGTTATCTTTTAGATGCAGTTTTGTTGCTTCATACAAATTATTCTAAATCAAAGCTACGGAAAAAAAATAAATCATGAAATAATCTCAGATTTTCCTTCATCCATTGTGAGAGGGACTTAAGGGTTACTTTGAGTGTTAAAGCTGGGATTTCATCTGTAAAAAGTATAGTGCTTTTAATCAACAGTCAAAACTCCATGTAGCTTAAATACAAATAGTCTGGGTTGTGGTTTTATTATGTCTACGGTATAGAACATAATGAAATCACATCTGCCCCTAATCGTATTCTCCGTGTATTTCTCTTTACATCACAAAGCTTACAAAACAAGTGCTCTAACGGTACGTCCACACAGCGGCTTTGGAAAAAGCTTGCCGGCGGGCGTGTCTGAAGCTCGACCAACAACCAATCACATGAATCTCCCGCCCCTGACACACAAGAAGTGGTTTGATTGGCTAGAGCTTGTACTGGCATATGATTTGATTGGCTGACGCTTCCACCGAAAGCTTCAGAAGATTCAAAAGTTGAACATTGCTCAACTTTAAGCCTTTTTTTTTTTTTTTATGTTTTATTGAACATTTTTAAAACATACAAAAGCTCGGTGAGGATATCATCAACTTATCAACATAAGTGCAAGACATTCATTCACAATAAGACAAAAAAACATAAATAATACATCCAGTAAGAGCCAGGGGGAGAGAAAAAAGCATAAAGGCACAAAAACATTTAAGAGGCACTAAGCTTACTTAAAATAATAACCATTTGGAAATGTCATTGCAAATCTTTATAGACATGTTACAAGATTGTATTTTCCTAAGGGACAGAAAAAAGGACTTGAACTCATTTATGAAACAGGGAAAGGAGGCTTTTGCCCTCCTCCTCCATTTGACCCAAAATAATAATTATGATTTTTACCAAATCAGAAATGGGATGGGTCCCAAATTATCAATATAATATAAAATGTTATATTTGAAGGTCCGCCGGAATATTAGTTATTTAAGTAANCAGAATAGACAAAGGTGTGTTAACCCAGATCACATTGACCTGCTTCTCCTGAGGGCCTAGGTATAAAAGTTACGGCTCGCCACTGGATTTGAGATAGCCCAGGAGAAGCAGGTCAATGTGATCTGGGTTAACACACCTTTGTCTATTCTGCTCTCCTTACAGTTAACAATTAGCAACCTCATGCATGAAACATGTGGGGGAGCACACTGACCGGCAGTTAAAACGCTGCTTACATGACTCATGTTATCCACGGCCACTCAGGAACACTTTGCTCCTCTCTGTTGGGGTTAATATGTTTGGACTGTGATAAAGTTTAAGTGTTTTAGCATGATGTAATGACTGGAAATGTTGGATTGTGGAAAATGTGTTATTGTGAATACATGACATTTAGATTAAGGTGTTTTGTATCACTGGTCTGAGGTCGTCAAACAACTTCACAGTGGCAAAGCCCCGGGGGTGGATGAGATCCGCCCAGAAATGCTGAAGGCTCTGGGTGTTGAGGGACTGTCATGGTTGACACGTCTCATCAACGTTGCGTGGAAGTCGGAAACAGTACCGAAGGAGTGACAGACCGGGGTGGTGGTTCCCCTTTTTAAAAAGGGGGATCAGAGGGTGTGTGCCAATTACAGAGGCATCACATTACTCAGCCTCCCCGGGAAAGTTTACTCTAAGGTACTCGAAAGGAGGGTCAGGCCGATTGTCGAACCTCAGATTGAGGAGGAACAATGCGGATTCCGTCCTGGTCGTGGAACGACGGATCAGCTTTTTACTCTCGCAAGGATCCTGGAGGGGGCCTGGGAGTACGCTCATCCAGTCTACATGTGTTTTGTAGACTTGGAGAAGGCGTATGACCGGGTTCCCAGGGAGTCACTGTGGGAGGTGCTGCGGGAGTATGGGGTGAGGGGGTCTCTACTCAGGGCCATCCAATCTCTGTACTCCCAAAGCGAGAGCTGTGTCCGGGTCCTCGGCAGTAAGTCGGACCTATCCCCTGTGTGCCTTGGCACTCCGCCAGGGCTGCGCTTTGTCACCAATCCTGTTTGTAATATACATGGATCGGATTTCGAGGCGTAGTCGTGGGGGGGGGTCGTGCAGTTCGGTGGACTAAGGATTGCACCACTGCTTTTTGCAGATGATGTGGTTCTGATGGCTTCATCGGTCTGCGACCTTCAGCACTCACTGGATCGGTTCGCAACCGAGTGTGAAGCGGCTGGGATGAGGATCAGCACCTCCAAATCTGAGGCCATGGTTCTCAGCAGGAAACCGATGGACTGTCCACTCCAAGTAGGGAATGATTCCTTACCCCAAGTGAAGGAGTTCAAGTATCTCGGGGTCTTGTTCTCGAGTGAGGGAACAATGGAGCGTGAGAGGCATGTTTATGTGCTAGCTTTACAATACTTATTCCACCCAAAAAAAGGAGGAAGCAATGGAGCATGAGATGGGTCGGAGAAATCGCCTACAAGCCTGACATGCTTGTTAGGGATGTCAAGTTTGCATACAGGGAATGCATTTCCTAACAATTTGTGCGAAGCACGTAGGAGCAGTACCTCGCAGCTCTCTCATGCTGTATACACGCACCAGTTGGTATTATCTTTGCGATTTGTGACAACGTGACGAAAAGGGAGCTGAGCCAGTTAACTGCTCAGAAAGCTCTCTGGGTTCTACTGTTGGCCATCCCTCTTGTTTCCCCCTTTATCACACTGTAGCCGTGGCTGTTGTTCTCTCCGGATTGAAGTTATATGGATATTATTTTTGTTGTCCAGCGTGAAAAGAAAGTTTATGCGGTGCTTCTATTCTGCCTGGTTATATATGGAACATGTCCATACCTCTCGCGACCTGGACCCGGATAAGTTGGAGCTGTTGTATTAGCTGTAACCAGTGGTCTCTACTTGTAGGCTATTGTCTATTATTAATGTAACGGGAAGAGCAGCACTATGGTCAACCAAAATTCATTGGATCTTTTCTTCTATTTAAGAAATTGCAATATTTAATATAAGTGTCTATCTGTTGGTCGCACTATACAATTATATCTGCAATGTCAGCAGAATACAAGAGAAATATTCAGTCGATTCTTTTAAGTACTATTTCTGAGCTTTAGTCATAAATAGTTCAGAGTAGCAGGTAAATATTCACTCGGCTGTCCGTCACTCATTTAATGCATAGAGTATGTCAGAAAAAACTCAAAATAGTTTCAAAAACTATACTGGACCGCCGTGAAAATGATATTGTGTAGATAAAAAGGGAATGTAGCAGGAACTACAATACGGAGGTTCAATTTACAATTTAAACTCATTTTTATTTCTGTTGTCTTTCTTTGAAATTCTCGGTCCGAAAAGATCGTGCGCGCGTACCTCTTTAGTGTCCAAATATCAATGATTTAGGTCTAGAACATGCATTTTGACAATACAGATGGAAGCTGATTATTACTTAGAATATACTGCGTGCATACATGTCTACAAAAAATCTGGCCCTGTGTGCTGCTAAAGAGAAAAGATTACGGAGCTACATATGACTAGACACAGAAGTAAAAA